TCCAGCCCTAACTATATGCTTTAGCAAAAAGGAAAGTTTTAAGCCTAATCTTAAAAGTAGAGATAGTGATTAAAGGGGAATGATGTTCAGTAATCAGGTTAGCAACACTTGGCTGCTACTTACCCTCTTTTCCTATGGAGGCAGTAGGGATGTACTTGGTTTATTACAGGACTGTATATAGTTTATCTGATAAAATGTTGTGCAGGACAACACTTCACTTCACTGAAAAGGCAAGAGTCAAAGTCACCCATCTCCAGTTTCATTCTGGCTTTGGTTGGTAGCTGAACCTTACCTCAGCCTCACTGATGGATGTGCTGTATTTTTAGATCATGACTGGCTCAGATTACATGCCCTTCATTTATGCTAGGTGTGTTTTTTTTCTTCTTACAATCTGATGACATGTTGTCATCTGCATGTAAGACCACCAATTAACAGTAGATTTAATATTTTGTTCATAATTTTCTTTTATCTGATTTCTGTGCTGTCCTCCGGTCCTGCAGCTGAGTAATAAGCAGATTTCTGCTGATAGCTTGAGGCTTTCACAGCAGTAACAGTCATTGTCCCGATAGAAAACCATTCATTTTATGCACCTGTAGTTACACACTAAAGTAACTTTGAGAGTGTTTGTGCCTCCAACAATGCAAAATGTAAATGCACTGACAACATAAATGCTTTTCAAATAAAAAACAGCAGCAGCAAGAAAAACCTAAACCTGCTAAATATAACCCCTGTGTTTTTGTTGCATAAAAAGAACTCCGTTGCGCTTTGCCCTTGAAAATCTGAACATTCAGCTCTCTTCGCTGACCTCTAGACTGCTGTCAGAGATCGATGATTGCAGGTTGTCGTGGCCAGGGACAGAGAGCCCTCATTCAGTATATTTTGGGATCTTACAGGACTGAACTGGCCACGTTTGTATGGTAGGTTTTGTCATCAGATGCTAGCCAGACGGCTGCAGCGAGTCATCTACATTCCAAGTTATAGTTAGCGGAGGAGACGGAGAAGACATTTTCATTCTATATGTCCTCTGGGTTCCCTGTCCATAGCCAGCAGCGCCGTGTGGGCCAAGCCACAGGGGGAGGGGGAGGAATGCCAATGATACCATCATTATCCTCTTAAAGTGGCACTGGGATACTTTTTTTAATGTAAAAGTTCTCTTTTAGCAGCAAGAACAAAACCTTTCAAACTCACAATAATTAGGTTGATGAAGAATCTTCCTGTGAGCAACTTTAAATATTATTGCAAGTGTCGTTTGCCATTGCATTGATGCACAAAATAGACTAAATGTTAAGTTTTAGCATCCTACCAAACGTACAACACTGTGCAAAAGTCTTGAGCCACCCTCATTTCTTTGTATTTTGCTAGTAAAATGGGAAGTAGCTGCAGCCATTTAGAGAAACACATGTAAACATAGATGGAAATACAGCATATAAGATGAAAACAGAGTTTGTACATTTCTTAGCTTTAAAGTCAATATTTGTTATGTCCACGTTTATTCTTCAACAAAGGCCGAACTCTCTTGTAATTTCTTTAAGTAGTCTTCTGGAATAGTTCTTCAG